ATAAAGTCAACCAAACAAGGCAGAACCAAATTTGAATGGTAGGAAATTATGAGAAAATTTAGGTTCTACATGAGTTTTGGCTTGAGAACCAAAAACAATGCCCCCCCCCGTAGCAGTTGGAATGCCAATCTTTCATTTTTGCATCGCGTTGTTACAGGTGATCTGTACACTGACTAGTGAATGGTCTGGCATGCATATGGGGGTCAAAACTTTTGCAAAGTATTTGTCAGGGCAGGTTGCTAGAAAAAGGTCGAGGAGGTCCACCTGCTGTCCCGTTATCTGGTGGGTTCCTCAATGATCTTGGTTAGTTCATAGGCGATGGAAAAGTATTTGTCAGGGCAGGTTGCTAGAAAAAGGTCGAGGAGGTCCACCTGCTGTCCCGTTATCTGGTGGGTTCCTCAATGATCTTGGTTAGTTCATAGGCGATGGAAAAGTATTTGTCAGGGCAGGTTGCTAGAAAAAGGTCGAGGAGGTCCACCTGCTGTCCTGTTATCTGGTGGGTTCCTCAATGATCTTGGTTAGTTCATAGGCGATGGAAAAGTATTTGTCAGGGCAGGTTGCTAGAAAAAGGTCGAGGAGGTCCACCTGCTGTCCCGTTATCTGGTGGGTTCCTCAATGATCTTGGTTAGTTCATAGGCGATGGAAAAGTATCTGCAATATATACCTTCATCAACGCGATGTAAAAAGGAAAGGCTGATATTCAAACTGCCGCAGATGGTCAATTTTTTTTTTTTTTTTTGATTCATGTTTAATGTCAGCAAAAAATCAAAAATACAATGGTTATCAGAAAAATATGTGCCAACATCATGGGCAGGACTCTATTCACATAAGTCCATGCTTTGTATCTGGTGAAATATGAAAAATGTCATCCATTACGGACTATTGGAACATGGAAGGACCATCACTGCAGACGTTTAATCAGCAATTTAATCAGGTATTATGTCAAAAAAGTATTACTTTTGTAAACAGAATAATGACAATGCAAGGGCCCTGCAGAACAAAAGCAAGAAAAAATAAAATATTTCGGATGGGTGTTTTTTTTTTCACATTTTCCATAATCACCAAATTTAGAACCTACAAATCTTTATGTTTTGATCGACAGAACATTTTATAAGTGGCAAAACATTCAGAAACAAAGAAAACAATCTTTCAAATCTTTTTAGGGAAAAACACTTTTCTTTAAATGTATGTAAATCTCAACAGTTGTAAGTGTTAATTTTTTTAAAATATCATCAACGGCAAGACAAAACGACAAGATATAAGTAGGAACAGATAGATTCGCGTGAAAGAAAATGAGATAAAATTACTAAGGAGCATTGACAATAAATAACAGAGTTCAGGAAGACAAAAAATGGCGATTGATATTACATTTAGATTTTTGAAGATCATAGGTGACAAGAAAGCAAGAAGACGAAAGAGATTTCCGCAGGCGAGAAGTGTGAAAAAAGAAACCATTAGAATGGAACTTATGGTTACATCAAGCTATTTCAACGGTAAAATGATGGAATCTAGTTGCCAATCTAGTACTACGTTTAAATTCGTACAGTTGAGATGCCAAAAAGAAAAACTGATTTGTCAAAAATCTCGAAACAGGAGCACTAGACGAGATGCGGCAGCAATATTCGATGTACGAACGAATGGCAGATTTATAAACCTGCAAGATGGATTCTGGCGAGAAAAATTGTCAGACACAGCACAGTGAACCAACTTTTCTAGCAGTATACCTATCTATTGATTCAATATAAGCATTCTACTTCATCATGGCAGTGGAAAACGTGAAACTGAGAAGGCAAAACGAGTTAGCATCAGCCATGCTGATAGAAAGCAAAAATGGTTATCTGATTCTCACTTTAGAGGCGTTGTAAATTACAAGCCATTTCTTGCCTCAGCTAACAACTAATTTAAGGTTATTTTCGAGATCATCTGCTAGTTTTACTTTATCGGGCCTATCAGACTTACAATCAAAAGGAGATACACGACGTATTTGGGACATGTAATGAGAAAAGAAGCTTCAAAAAATTTAACACTAACCGGACATATTGAAAGTCAAAGAACCCAGGAAAACTGCGTAAACTACTTAACGAGTTTACGTTAATGAACGACAAGATTTGGGACAAAGAGAAGTGGTAAAGGATAATAAATTAGAGAAATAAAAAACAGGAAGTTGTGGAGAACCATAATTACCTAGGTTCATAAAATAAGAACATCAACATGTTGCGGTATTTGAAATGTGCATTTTTACTCATCAATAAGGCAAGCACAGAGACTTATGCTTATACAAAATCCAATTTATTCGCGGCTATTGTAAATCCCACACAAAACAGAATTTCAACACTCTCCCATTCGAGTGTCAAATAGCACAAGGCCATATTTAACGTAGGCCTCTCACATGTATATAATAATAGTTACAATTGCTCACTTTCTTCAGTACTTCCATTTTGAAACGCTTGAGGCATCATTGATTGACCCTAACCCTCCACCTTCAAAAGCAATAGGGAGGTGCTGCTTGGGGAAGGGGCTCCTGGATTTGATTTACGATCATTATATCATTGTTCCTTCCTTCGCGCGTACGTTACGTCCTGCCAATATTGCAAATAAATATTAGACCTTTCCGTTTTGATTGCAATAAAATACGGAAGAGAAAGTTATATCAATGACTCTGCCAAGAAAGAAGAGTACGCTTAACGTTTAAGTCAGTGAAATGAAAAACTTTGTCAATTTCAAATATTTCATTTGTACCCTCTTACTTCTTTAAAATCATGACCTGTATCCATCCCATGATTGTTAGTGACATATTTTGTTAAAGTTGTTAGGCGTAACTATGCGTGTTAGTAAAGATGTAGAATAATAGCTGAACAAAAGTGGAGATAATGAAACAGTGAAAAAGCTTGTCCAGACAACACGTTTCGCCTCTGTATGGTAAGTCAGAATAAAAAAAAATGTGTGTAAGGAAAGTGTGTTGGTAATTTTTAAGAAGGGGTAATAAATAGCTTTATCAAATGGCATGGTCAGAAAGTTGTTTTTGCTTTCTTTTCTTTTTCTGTGTTGAAGTAGTTAACGCCTGCTAGATCATACTTATTATAAAACCCAGGTTGTGTGTGTGTGTGTGTGTGTGTGTGTGTGTGTCTACGTTTATATATTGGATCAGATTTCCTACATTTTTCAACCGATTTCAACAAAACTTTACAGGACTACGTAAAATTACCTTGCGGTGGTTCTGACAGCGCCAAAAATTGGAAAAACACAATTGTTTTTGCACAAAATCAATTTGAAAACACGACTAAGAGGCATCGCGAAAATGAAAGGGGGACAACTCATATCGAGTTATACTTATTATAAAACTCAGATTGTGTGTGTGTGTGTGTGTGTGTGTGTGTGTGTGTGTGTGTGTGTGTGTGTGTGTGTGTTCGTTTATATATGAGATCGGATTTCCTACATTTTTCAACCGATTTCAACAGAACTTCACTTTTTTTGGCAGGTAGTGTTTCTTATTGTCTTGCACACTTTTTTTTCTTTATTTTTACATTCAGAATGCTTTAAAATTCCATTTACAAGACAATTGTTTATAATAAAATTCTATTCAATCGGTAAACTCATAACGATTGAAAACAATGTTTTGTTTGAGTTTGGGTTTGACCAATTCGTAAAAAAAAACTAATTAAGACATGCGTGTCCGTCAACCTTAAACAATAATCTTTGTCAATTTTATTTTTCAGTCTTTATAATGGTCGATACTTGATCTATCTCTTACTGTTATATCCCCGGGCAACGCCGGGCTCTACTGCTAGCTTTAAATAAGCCCACTCCGATTAGATTTCTGCTTTTCTTGTTATTGTTTTCTCTCTATTCTTATTACCGTATTGTGCTACTTTTGCTTTCGGTGATTGATGATGATATTGTATATGAATCCGTTCTGAGGTTGACTGTAGACAATTGTAAAATCACTGCACTTTTAAGGCCTTTTCTTCTTAATGAATTCTTTTTTTCTTCTAATTAGACACTATGCAATAGTGGAATTTTCACGAGTATTTTATAGTCGTGGAGAACCGCAATTAAAATATTCACACATTAAATTAAGAATTAAGTCTCATCAGAGAATTCAGAACATCGGATACCACAAAACATTCACGGTTACTGGTATTAGTTATTATTACCCCAACTTTGATGACAGAGCCAAAATATGGCACAAGGATATTAAATTAGAGGTGCAATAAGTTTTGACATCTTAATTTAATAGTGGAAATTTCAATTCTGATTAAAAGAAAAAATAATTCACTAAAAAGAAAAGATATTGAAAGTGCACTGATTTCCCAATTGTCTACAATCAAATCCAAAACGGTTTCATATGCAATATCACCTATCATCGTAAAAGCAAAAGTAACACAATGCGGTATACGAACTAATAGAGAGAAACAAAGAAAAAACAGAGATGTAAACGGAGTGGGCTTATTTAAAATCCAGCAGATGTTAACAGCACCAATACAGAAAAAGCAAATAAAGAAAGCAAAAACAACTTTCTGTCCACACCATTTGATAAGGTTATTTATTACCCCTTCTTAAAAATTACCAACACACTTTCCTTTCAAGAAATGAAGATGAGACTGTAAGGAAGTAATTGAAACCTGAAATTGGGCTCACAACAAATGTAAACCCCCCTCTCATTCCCACTGACTATTGTTCCAAATTTTCCTGGTTGGTTGGAAATTTACATTAAAGGTGATGTTCTATGCCAAATTGGCCTATTTTATTCATGAATAGGCACCGACTTACAAGAAAACACTTGCTTTCTGTTATCTTTACAGGTGTTCAGTTATTTTCTTAAACCTTTTTTTTTTTCATTCGTTATGGAAAATCCTGATGACGCCTGCAACAAAAGACGCCTTCTGTTTTGTCCAAAACTTCAAAATTCGCTCAAACATCTGAGCCAACGAAAGGTTGAGTATCTTTATTGTATTTTTAATGTTTTCACTAACTTTTATTTGTCTTTTTACTTGTCTAAGGTCTTACCTTTTCTAATCCTTTTATATTTTTTCATATCTTTTTTCTCTTTTTCCTCTTTTTTACTCTCTTGACTTTTCCTCTACCTTTTTTCTCTTGTCTTTTCTCCTCCTCCTCCTTCATTGCTTTTCCTTTCCTCCTCCTTTTTCCTATCTTGTCTTTTCCTTCTCTTTTTCTTTTGTGTCTTTTGTTCCTCCTTTGTTTCTTTTTTTTTCTCTCTTGATTTTTCCTCCTCCTTTTTTATGTCTTGTCTCTCCGTTTTTATCATTTCTTTTTATCAATGAATTAAGTAACTTTCACTCAATGATGATTCCATAAGATTTTCTTCAACCAATTACATCAGGGAATCGTTCCTTCGGATATATTATTTACGTATATGAATATAACTTTCTTAAATTGAATGGCAAGCGAGAGTGGTTTGATTGATTGATATTTATTACGATTTATCAACCATTTTACAGGTTATTTTAATCCAGAAAATATTTTTTAGATTGTAAGAATTTTTTATTTATTTTAGTTTTTTGTTGAGGTAATGATTTATTAATACAAGTTTTACTAATTAACTCATAACTGGTGGGGAGAAGTTGTGGATTCATACTGACCAGACTAGGTACTGACCAGACTCGACGTTGCTTAACTTCAGTGATCGTACGATGGCCGTGTCTTAACGTGATATGGCCTTAAGAAGAAGAAAAAGAAGATGTGGATTTATGTATTTTTAAAACATCAATGAAGAAGTGAAATTTCGTAGATTTTGCTTTCTCTGAGCTTAACTGTGTTGGAGCCATGAAATTCTTCAGATTATAACGTAAAATTTAACAGGTTGCCTATGATTACTTTATATAAGGCATATCTCGTAGATATTGCGAGTTCGCATCATCTGAATCAATCAAATGAAACGAGAGTGCTGCTCCTCGATTTCAGAAATTTTGAAAGGATCCTCATCAAGTGTTTGGGCCTGTAGCATGCTAAACCTGTTCCGAATTTTTTCAAAACAAGCTGCACATGGCTGAGTGATTTTTGAAAGTCTCTGAACAGTCAAATTTAAGAGTAAGCGCACATATATATAATTCTATACAGATTTTCCCTATAATGGGAGCACTTATTCGAAGGGAAGGGGGCACTCATTTAAAATTACTTCCATGTGAGCGTCGCTTATTCGAAAGAGACACTTATTTGAGGAAATACAGTAACTTCGTGAGTATAGGTAGTTGGCCTATGCATGTAAGTATACACTGAGTATATAATAAGATGACAAAATAGGGTAACCGGTGAGGATCGAACTTACGACATTAATAATGATCTTCGAGATTGGCTTGCTAACCACTAATCTATCTATCTATCTATCTATCTATCTATCTATCTGTCTATCTATCTGTTGTGTATGATACACCTAATTTACATAGTGGAGTACCGACCATATAAATATGGTTGGTACCGGGAAGACGAGTGAAGGGAAGTAACAAGAGATCCAATCCAGAGACTCTGCCCGACTGCGATTAAGTCAACCCATTCTACAGGAACAGTCTTCCCAAGAATATACCAAAACTAACTGTAAATATTGTGTACCCTTTCCTTGTTTCAATACATTTTGTTAACGTACATTTTGTGTTGTATTATTATTATTCCATGCTTATCCAAGTTTCAACACTATCTATCTATCTATCTATGCCTGTCTATATCAGTCCGTTCTTTCCTTCCTATCTATCTATCTATCTATCTCAGTCCGTCCTTTCCTATCTATCTACTTATCTGTGTCTATATCGAACCGTTCTTTCCTATCTATCTATCTATATATATAATAATAATAATAATAATAATGGACACTCCCGTCGGTTTCGACGCATGAGGATCTGACAGCTTATTGATTCAGTTATGAAATATTGTGCGATAATCTTAAGTGGCATTTAAGACCCGCTAGTGATTTACAAAGGAGGCCACATATGGAGCCAGTGTGAGGATTGTGAGATGAGATCACTGTTAGATTGGCTGACCTTTTAGATCTTGCTCTCGCTTCTTGAAGATGATTCAGACAAGCTGACTGAAAATTGCTGAGTCCACTAAAACACGTTGATTTCCATTCTACCCGCTCCAAGAGGTTAAGCGCTCAAGCGTGTTATGCGTTATATTAATATATATATATATATATATATATATATATATCATAATTAATAATAAAATTATTGGTAAGCCGTATGAAATTTCCAAGAGGATATAGATCTGTTGAGAGCTCTATATCAAAAGACAGTGCATATATATATATATATATATATATATACAAAGAAATAATCACACATAGAATCAATCAGAAGTATTAATGCGATTATTGGCGACATCCATCGCTAGAAACATAATATATGCATTAAAATACTGTTAATCCATAGAGTGAAGTTATCCTCGTCGATAAACTTGATGTCTGTAGTTTTCAGTTTATTTGATGTTAAAATGCTAGTACTTACGAATAGTCCTCTATTCATCATCAGGCATGTGTTTTTTCCTTATAAAATCAAAAACATGGAGACGAAATACTTGTATGTCGACCGAAAGATGTTTTTTGAATATCTGCTATTATTGACGGTTGTGTAAGATCTCGGAACGTGCAAAGACGCAACGCTAATATGTATGTATGTATGTTTGTGCCAACGGCTTTCCATACTTCATACTAGTCCAATTCACTCTCGCGTGGTCATGTGTGACGTCATGAGATGCGGTGCGATTTTCGCTTCTAGCGTCTTATATGCAAGTGTTTATCGTTGCTTAGAGATCATCTATGTAAACATTCACAGACTGTCATCACTGTCTTGTCCGTATATTGCTTAATATGTTGTAATTGATATTTTTGATAATGGCTTATGTAAGCCGAAAGCTTAGATTGTATTAAAAAAATATGGATCAATATTGTGAATTTCTTTCTTCGTTCAATTATAATGTTATTAAACTTATTAGACGTTATGAAAAGAGTTTACATAAAATAGACAACTCTTGTCTATATTATTTAATGAAACGTGTATGAATATATGTATATATATATATATGTACACACGCACACACAGATACACATATATATCATCTGCGTGTTCTTATCTTCTTATCTATCGATCTGTTCAGGGTATTTAGGGTCTTATATGACAACAGTGGAGCTTCTTTATATTTGTTAAATATGTCATTCTCAAATTACATGCATAACTGGATAAAAAATAAATGTGAAAAAGATGGGGCTGGGGACGAAAACAATTGTAAACAATTCTCCGAAAACTCGGACTTCAGAACAATAGGCTGTCAGTGTCGGCCATCTTTTGTTGGAAATGGGCTCTCAGCAAAAAATAAACACTTTGACTGAAGAGGTGACCAAACAGGAAAAGATTACAATTTAAAACAACGGAGACTGGGTCAAGAAAGGGAGAAATCTTAGAAGGGAAAGTTAGAAAGAGATGAAAAAAAAAAAATAAAAAAAAGAGAGAAAGATGGGTAGAACGAGTAAAGAAAGATATTAGACTGATAACCAAAGAAGAATTAAGAGCAATATCGGGCAGTGACCTAGTTTAAGATTAGGTCGACAACTGGAGTAGCTGATGCTTATTGGTCAGAAAAATCCCCAGAAAGGACGTGATTACACCAGAGCAGTTTGTGATTGGACGGGTCCTGTCTGTTGGTACGGGTAGGATAATATAAAGCAAGTCATCTCTCTCTCTCCCTCCCTCCCTCCCTCACACACACACAATATTAGCTGACTAGAAATACTTGTGAAAATTTCAGTTTTCCTATTTGAATTTTCTGATGAATCATAATTCTAAATTTAATGATTGAATAAACACATTGGGAGTCCAACAACTAAAAATACCTAATTAAATTTCCCTATTGTCTCATTAAATATTTGAGCTTAAAAAACTTAGCAAAATATTAAAATAGCAATCATAAATATGAATGAAGATAATTATTTAATGAAGTAAGAGGGTACAAATGAAAATATTCAAAATTGATAAGGCTTTCTATTTCACTGAAGTAGACGTTAAATACATGCGAATGTTGTCTTCTCTGTCTTTCTTATTTTTCTCCCTTTTCTTTCTTTTTTCTTTCTTACTCAAAAACCAAACAACGCCTTTTCTTTTTCGTTTTTCATTCAGGGGACAAGCAAGCCATTACAGGTCTATCCTCGCAATCAAACAGAAATGGCCTATTGTTTATAGGAGATAATGACAGAGTGTATCGTACATGCTAAGGAACGAGCACGGTTATAATATGCTACTGTGCAGGAAGGAGCAACTCTGATTATCTGAATAAGGCAATAAAGCCACTAAAACGCAGGGAGTTATTGATGAGTGTGAGAAAATATGAGAAAAAGTAAAAATTATTAAATAGAGAGAACAATAAAAGAACAGGAATTAAGAAGACACAAGATAACAACTGACACTGATTTTAAATTTGAAGTGCTGGAAAAAAAACTGTTAGCATAAAACTTATGGTTACATCTAGCCATTTCAGCCGTAAAATGATGAGACCTTTCCGACAATCTAGTACTGCGTTTAAATTCATAGGTACCAAAGAGGAAAGCTCATCAGAACAATTACCATGAAAATATTTATTGAAAAGGTACAGGGGATGTACGTTAGGGTAGTGGAAAATTGACTGAAGCCGAGATGCCAGATCAGGATCAATAATATTGCAGTTTCGTCTTTGTATGGAAATACACAGCAGAAGCACCAAACCAGATGTCGAAGAAATATTCAATGCAATTTCGAATGGTAGACTTATAAATTATTGTTAAATACATTATCACATGCCAAGTGTGGCCAAACTTGCTTAATGTAAGAACCACATACGATAAAGGTTCAGTTGTTTTAGAGACGCAAGACATAAACAAAATTTACACATACGATTTTCACATTAACATTAAACTTACGTTTTAATTCAATGAAAGTCTCAATTCATACCCAGTAAATAATTGTAAAGCTTGAATTTTTTCTTATTTACCTTTTATATTAACTGTGATTGAAAAAGGAGCTCAGCCAACATATTTTCACGAGCCTCATATTAAAGGTGATAGCGCCGCATATGGCTAGTGAGCCGTGGTTTAGTCACCCCGTTATATGCTTTGCTATTCGAACCAACATCCTCATCAGAACATTTCGACCTTTGTATCCTCCAACCCCACCTCCATCTGCCTTTTAGTGTTGTCGTAATGTTGAAGTGAACGCTTTATTCAGCTCAAAGGGCGAGTGTACT